TCCCCTTAGCAAGTGGTTTTCAATGTCATGGTAGTATACACAGAGATGTTGGACCCAGGCATGTGTGTTGTGAGTCCAACTGCAGCGTGACTTCTGGCCTGTGGTGTGGGAAGATGAGTTGTAGAGGAGAGATGACAGATCCCAGTTGCCTTCAGTATCTGGAGGTTCAGACTGTCCACTCACCTCAGCTTCCCAAAGGTGCGGGATTACAGGCTGAGCCACCGAGCCCGGCTTGTCTATACTTCTTTTGTGGCAGTTTCTACATTCTGTAATTTTTTTACTTTCACTTAAAAAAATTTTTTTAATGCTTTTAGTAGTGATGAGGTCTTGCCATGTTGCCTAGGCTGGTCTCAAACTCCTGGGTTCAAGAAATCCTCCTGTCTCGGTCTCCCAAAGTGTTGGAATTACAGATGTGAGCCACCACACCCAGTTCACATTCTATATTTTTATTTTTATTTTTTACATCTATATTTTTACATAGGGAGGAGGAATTAAAAGAAAGCACCACGCCCTCTTCAGTGGCAGCTTCTTGTTCCACAGAGTTAGGGAAGAAATAAATGTTTGGAAAAATCCAGGTGTAGTTGCTTTGTATGTTGTGATGGACAGGAGGGATGAGATGAAGTGTGAAGGCCCCTCACACCCTCCATCTTGCCTCAGACTATGTCCTGAAGCCCTGGGGGCCCGCTACTTTCACTCCTGCTTCTTGGGATTGTTGATGGCCACACAGTGGTAGAGGACAACAAGCAGGAAGAGTGACACGCCTAGCATGTTGGTGAAGATGGCAAGTTGCATGGCAGTGGTTCATTCTGCCCAGCCCACCATCTGTACAGCCCTCTCCCCCCCTTTTTGAGTCAGAGTCTCATTCTGTTACCCAAGTTGGAGTTCAGTGTCAAGGCCACCGCAGCCTTGACCTGCTGGGGTCAGGTGACCAATCCACCTCAGACTTTCAAATAGCTGGAACTACAGACCTGGGCCATCACGCCTGGCTAGTTTTTTGATTTATTGTAGAGATGAGGAATCACCAAGTTGCCCAGGTTGGTCTCGAACCCATGGGCTCAGGCAATTCTCTCACTTCGGCCTCCCAAAGTGCTAGGACTATAGGCACGAGTCACCGCACCCGGCCTTTATAATTATTTTTAAAATTTTTCTTTGTCTACTCTTTTCTCTTAGCCACAAAAATGTAAAATACAAGAAAACCTAAAATGTCTCATTTACTGATATAACTCCAATGCCTGCCTAAATCAGTACTTCATATATAGTAAACATACAATAAAAATTTTTGAATAATCCCATAAATTGCCTGTCAAGACATATTTACCTATGGCTCTAAGACATGGAACTCTAAGTATAGTTGACCTTTATTACTTGAGATATGGACCTGGGACTCCATCTACTTACTAAAATTTATCTGTAACCCCAACATCAATATTCAAGGTACTTTCAGGATGATTTGTGAACATGCACAGTGTCGAGTTGCCAAACCTGCACTGCCAAATGTGCACATTCCTAGTTAAGGTTGAGCAAGACAATGATCCGCCTTCGTTTCAGCTCTCATACTATGAACAACTGTAGTCTATTTAGTTCCATGTGTTTACCAATTTTGTGTTTTGTGTTAGTGGTTTCACCATTTAAAATGGCCTCCACACATGGTGCTGAATTGCTAGCTAGTATTCCTAAGAAGGCTGTGCCTTATGTGTTAGATAAACTTCATTCAGGCATAAATTACAGTGCTATTTAATGTTAATGAATCAACAATAATATGAATTAATGAATAAGGTGAACTTTTAAAAAATTTATTTGTTTACTTAGAAATGAGATCTCACTATGTTGCCCAGATGGTCTCAAGTTCTTGGCCTGAAGTGATCTTCCCATCTTGGCCTCCCAAAGTGCTGTGCTGAGATTACAGGCCTCAGCCACCACATCCAGCCAAATAAGGTATCCGTAAACAGAAACACACATAAAATTAACACACTAAAGTCATGGACCGGATGTAGTTGCTCATGCATGTAAATCCCAGCTCTTTTGGGGATCAAGGCAGAAGGATCACTTGAGCCCAGGAGTTCAAGACGAGCCTGGGTAACATAGAAAGACCATCTCTCAACAAAAAATGTTTAAAAATAAGCTGAGCATGGTGGTATAAACCTGTAGTCCCAGGCAAAAGGATCTCTTGAGCCCAGGTGTTTGAGGCTGCAATGAACTATGATCCTACCACTGTACTCCAACAGAGCAAGACCGTGTCTCTTAAAAATATAAAAAATAGCTGGGCTCGGTGGCTCAGCCTGTAATCCCGTGCTTTGGGAGGCTGAGGTGAGTGGATTGCCTGAGCCCGCGGGTCTCGAACCCGCAACTTAGCAAGACCACATCTCTACAGTAAAAAAAAATAGCCAGCTGTGGCAGCACGTGCCTGTAGTTCCAGCTACTTGGAAGGCTGAGGTAGAAGGAAGGATCGCCGAAGCCCAGCAGGTTGAGGCTGCAGTGGCCGGAAGCGGCCACTGCACTCCAGTCTGGGTGACAGAGTGAGACTCCAACTAAAAAAAAAAAAAAAAAAAAAAAAGCTAGATTGTAGCAGTAGGATATCACATAACTAATGCAGGTTTCTTTAATGTGGATTGGTAAATGAGTAAGTTAACCAAACAGATTAGAGCAACATAGGACAGAGTGAAAAACAGGTTAAAGTATTACAAAGCCAGGCCAGGCGTGGTGGCTCAAACCTGTAATCTCAGCACTTTGGAAGGCTCAGATGAGGGGATTGCCTGAACCCACAGGTTTGAGCACCTTGGAGAGATTACTTAATTAATCTAAAAATTAGTAATGTGAGTCTGTAGTTCTGGCTGAGGCAGAAGGATCGCCTGAGCCCAGCAGGCCAATGCTGGGTTGACCGTGAGCATGCCACTGCACTTTAGCTTGGGTGACAGAGTGAGACTCCGACTCAAAAAAAAAAAAAAAAAAAAAGCTATTCATGTTTATTATAAAAATAAAAATGGCAAATATTAGCATATAAAAAAGAAAAATTAGGCCAAGCATGATAGCTGCGATGGCAGTGGTCATGTCATGGTTAAGGCTGCAATTGTCATGACTATGCCACTGCCCTCTAGCCTGGGCGACGAAGTGAGATCCTGACTAAAATAAATAAATAAATAAATAAATTAATTAATTAATATATAGATAAAATACTAATTATCATAGACACTGGCTTATATATATTATTATTATGTTATTATTATTATTTTTTGCATTGGAGTCTCACTCTATTGCCCAGACTGGAGAGTAGTGGCACACTCAAGGCCACCATAGCCTCGACTTGCTGGATTCAGGCAATCCTTCTGCCTCAGGGCGAGAGGACTGCCTGAGTCCAAGGGTTTGAGACCAGCCTGGGCAACTTGGCGAGACTTCGTCTCTACAATAAATAAAACAATTAGCCAGGCATGGTAGTGCGTATCTGTGTTTCCAGTTACTTGGAAGGCTGAGGCGGAAGGATCACCTGAGCCCAGCAGGTCAAGGTTGCAGTGGCCGTGAATGTGCCACTGTACTCCGGCCTGGGTGCAGAGTGAGACTCACTCCTATTCAAAAAAACAAACAAACAAAAAAACAGTGTACAGAATATACCTTTTTCCCTGTCTTTCTGACTATTTTCTTAAATTAGGTTAAGTCTTATTACTATGGTAAAAATATATGAATATTTCCATAACTGCCCCTGAGAAGGCTTAAACCAATTCACCAATAGTTTTCAGGACATCTGTTTTAGTACAACTTCAGTATTACTGAGTATTTTATTTTTAAAATCTTTGATATTTGATAGGCAATTTCTCAGTGACTTAATATATGTTTATTTGATTACTAATATTAACCAACCATCTTAGGGTGCCTGGGACTTGGAGGATCCCAGGATGACGAACTTTAAGTACTAAAACAGAAAAAGTTTTTTTCTACTGCTTGGCAAATTAGGATGATTTGGCCACCCTAATTACCAATAAAGTTAAACACAGAGTCTCACTCTGTTGCCCAAGTTGGAGTGCAGTGGTACGCCCACAGTCACTGCAGCCTCGGCCTCTGGGGCTCAGGCGATCCTGACGCCTCAGTCTTCCAAGTAGCTGGAAACACAGGCATGCACCACCACACCTAGCTAATTTTTTGATTTATTGTAGAGATGAGATCTCACCACATTGCCCAGGCTGGCCTCGAACCCATGGTTCAGGCAAACCTCTCACCTCTGCCTTCCAAAGTGTTGGAATTACAGATGTGAGCCGCCGTGCCTAGCCGTGTTAAACATCTGTCTGTTTACTGGTTCATTTGTGTTTTTTCTTTTGCTTGTGAAAGTCTTTGCTCATTTTATTCCTATTTCTAAAATGCCTTTATTCTTTTATTTTCTTAAACTTAATATTATTTTGCCAACTTCTCCATGTTTTTGTGTGGTGATCACACTCAAAATTTTTGGTCATTACTCTTCTATTTTAGCTTAATTAACCATTCCCTTCTCTTGGAAAATTTACCTAGTCAGATTGGTCTGATTATAAACATTTCTGCTTATCCCAAAGAACTACTGTGAAAGCCAAAAGAGAGAATATAAGAAAGCGTTGAAAATGAATGATGGTGATGATGGTGGAGGTGGTGGAAGAAGGTGGCTCAAAATAGAAACACCCTTAATACAGACAGAGGTGTGCATTCCTTCAATAGAAACTCACAAAAAACATTGAAGTTGAACCTGGCACTTCTTAAATAGTTTTCAACTTGTATTTATCTGTCTCCATCTCATCTCAAGGCAAAGATGCCCTTATAACATGAATTTAGCCAGGCTCGGTGCCTCAGCCTGTAATCCTGCACCTTTGGGAGGCTGAGGTGAGTGGATTGCCTGAGCCTGCAGGTTCGAGACCCACCTGGGCAGCGAGGCCTCATCTCTACAATAAATAAAAAAATTAGCCATGTGTGGTAGGGCACGCCTGTAGTTCCAGCTACTTGGAAGGTTGAGGCGGAAGGATCGCCGGAGCCCAGCAGGTCGAGGCTGCGGTGGCCGGGAGTGGCCACTGCACTCCAGTCTGGGTGACAGAGTGAGACTCCACCTCAAAAAAATAAATAATATGAATTTAATCAGGTAGCCAAAAAATTCTACCATATAGCAAGTAGTATGTCATCATTGTCACTTTTTCTCACTAAAATTCATGCATGTGTTGAAAAATTGCCATTCTAGACCAATTTGTACACTTTGATCTTTGAAATGTATTAGTCCCTTCCTCTTCTCTGTAGTCAGAAAAAGGTTTATTCGTTAAGTACTCACCTTTGCCAAGTCAAAAGGTGTTTTGACCTCTGCAGCTGTGTCAGGTTCAGCAAAAGCAGGAACTTCCTGTCTGTTTCTCCCTTTCTTCCTACCGCGCTTTAACTGGTCTCCTGATCTCTGCCCATCTAAAATTTCTTTGAAGAAAAAAAATTTTATACACACACACACACACACACACACACACACACACAAAGAACACTAGTAGCAGGATTCTTGGAGAACTTTTATAGTAGTAAATAAAAGGCGATGCTTAACATTTATGAGTGAGGATAACAACTCAGGCAGATTTTTGAATTATCTTTTCCCCTCAAACCAGAATTAAAATTTTTTTTTTTTAGTTGGAGTCTCACTCTTGTCACTCCAGTCTGGGTGACAGAGTGAGACTCCAACTCAAAAATAAAATAAAATAAAATAAAAATATGATATTTTAGATTGTTTAATAATGACTTTTTTAGCTCAGTGCTCATCTTTTGGATTGTTTAAATAATTACCTCTAAATGCTATACCATAATAGTTAACATTTTACTTTCATCCAAGTATGCATACAACTGAAAAATGTTTCTTTACTCTCCATGTGTAAATTTTTCTTTTTCTTTTTTTTTTGAGTTGGAGTCTCACTGTTGCTCAGGTCGGAGTACAGTGGCACACTGCTCATGGCCACTGTAGCCTCGACCTGCTGGGCTCAGGCAATCCTTCTACCTCAGCTTCCAAGTAGCTGGAACTACAGGCATGCACCACCATACCCGGCTAATTTTTTTCTAATTTATTGTAGAGACGAGGTCTCATATGTTGCCCACACTGGTCTAGAAGCTGCGGGCTCAAGCAAGCAACCCTCTCGCCTCCGCCTCTCAAAATGCTGGGATTACAGGCTTGAGACACTGTGTCCGGCCATGTGTAAATTTTTCAAATTATTCTAAAGCCACATTTGCATCTGCAAACAGGTATTTTTGTGATATTTTCTAAGGTGAAAAAAAAATCTAGATTATAACAATACTCATTACATATTGAGTAGAAATGAACTGAAAAAATATATACATATGATTCTGTTAAACTTAGCTATGAAGAAATACAGTATGGCAAAAAATTCCAAATCCTTTAAACCTGCCCATTTACCAATATTACAACTTTTACTTAATTACATTAACTTACCATCTTTTTTTGAGCACTGCTGCAAAGGATCAGACATCAACTCCTGATCATTCTTTTGCCATTTGGTTATAAGTTCTTCTATGAATTGACCTTTTTTGCCTTCATTTCCCTGGAGGAGATCAGTAACATATTCTTGTATCTCTTCAGCACTCTCAATTGACAAAACATACCTCAGGAGGCAAAGATATAAGTTGGTGAAACAAGGCTAGCTTACACTGTATTTTTCAACAATCTCAACAGACATCAAGGTAGTAATAACCATTCATTAATGTATTAGATTGCTTACTTTGACCCAAGCACTATGCTAAAAATACCATCCTAACTGCTGTAAAAGAAATGTATAAATACATACACTTATTTGTAGACAAGATGCTAGTTTATTCAAGACCAGCCTGGGCAACATAGTAAGAGCCTATCTCCATAAAAAATAAAAAATTAGACGGATGTGGTGATGCATGCCTGTAGTCCCAACTACTGGAGAGGCTGAGGTGGAAGGATCACCTGAGCCTAGAAGGTCAATGCCACTCACTGCACTCCAGCCTGGGCAACAGAGTGAGATCCTGACTTAAAAAGAAAAAAAAGTAAATAAAATAACGAAAAAAAAAAGTTCATACACCAAAAGGATTACTACTAACTGATAAGAATAAAACTAGTTATCAGTTAATTTTAATTTTTTCCCCAAAATGAATGTTTTGAAAAAGTATTACATTATACACACACACACACACACACACACACACACACACACAGACAGAGAGAGAGAGAGAGAGAGAGAAAGAAAAACACTAAGAAACAGTAGTTATTTCTGAGTGTGGTGTTATGGTAATTTTGGTTTATCTTTTAATGTTTTCTAACTTTTTAAGTTTTCTTTCGTTCTTTTTTTTTCTTCTTAAGCTAAAGTCTCACTCTGTTGCCCAGATAGGAGTGGGATGATCACAGCTCACTGCAGCCTCAACTTCCTGGACTCAGACAATCCTTCCATCTCAGCTTCCCTAGGAGCTGGGACTACAGGTGTGCACCACACACCTGGCTAATTTTTTTTTTCTTGTAGTGATGAGGATTGGCTATGTTGCCCAGGCTGATCTCAAACTCTGGGCTCAAAGCAATCCCCTCTCCTCAGCCTCCCAAAGTACAGGGATTAAAGGCGTGAACCATTGTGCTGGACCAACTTTTTTTTTTTTTTTTGAGTTGGAGTCTCACTGTCGCCCAGACTGGAGTGCAGTACTGCAGGCTTGACCTGCTGGGCTCCGGCGATCCTTCCTCCTCAGCCTTCCAAGTAGCTGGAACTACAGGCGGATGCTACCACGTCCGGCTAATTTTTTTGATTTTATTGTAGAGATGAGGTCTTGCCAAGTTGCCCAGGTGGGTCTCGAACCCGCGGGCTCAGGCAATCCACTCACCTCAGCCTCCCAAAGGCGTGGGATTACAGGCTGAGCCACCGAGCCCAGCAGGACCAACTTTTTAAGTTTTCTACAGTTAATGTCTTGTTATTAAAGAAGAGAAGTGATAAACATTACCAAGATATAAGACCCTCAAAGAACAATAAGGCTTGAAGAAATTGTAATTCAAACACACTGGTATAGGATGCAAGAAAATTATTATAATAATGCTAAATCCTTTAAATTTTAAAAAAACCACTGGGTGCATTGACTCATGCTTGTAATATCAGCACTTTAGGAGACCAAGGTGGGAAAATCGCTTGAGGCCAGGAGATCCAGACAAGTCTGGGCAACACAGCGGGATCCTGTCTCCACAAAAAATTTTAAAATTTAGCTGGGTGTCGTGGCACATGCCTGTAGCACCAGGCACTTAGACGGTTAAGACAAGAGGATTGTTTGAGCCCAGGAGTTCAAGGCTACAGTGAGCTACAGTTGTGAAACTGCACTCCAGCCTGGGCGACAGAGTGAGACTCCTATCTCTTTTTTTTTTTTTTTTTAAGTTGGAGTCTCACTTTGTCGCCCAGGCTGGAGTGCAGTGGCATGCTCCCGGCCACTGGAGACTCAACCTGCAGGGCTCCGGCGATCCTTCCGCCTCAGCCTTCCAAGGAGCTGGAACTACAGGGACGGGCTACCACACCCGGGTAATTTTTGATTAATTGTAGAGATGAGGCTCGCCAAGTTGGCGAGGCGGGTCTTGAACCCGTGGGCTCAGGCAATCCACTCACCCCAGCTTCCCAAAGGCGCGGGATTACAGGCTGAGCCACGAGCCAGCTGACTCCTATCTCTTAAATAAATACTTTTAAACTATGAAGCCGTTCCATGATTGATAGTATATATACTGGATTATCTGCCTAGTGTAGTGGTAGAACTGTTCATAGGTGAACAACCATATGCCTTTGGAACTCGTATATAGCATCTTATTCTTTTTTTTTTTGGAGTTGGAGTCTCACTCCTTCACCCAGGCTGGAATGCAGTGGCTGCACGCTCATGACCACCCCAGCGTTGACCTTCTGGGCTCCAGCAATCCTGCCACCTCAGCCTTTCACATAGCTGGAACTACAGACGCACTCTACCACACCTGGCTATTTTTTATTTCGTTGTAGAGACGAAGTCTCCCCAGGTTGCCCGGGCTGGTCTTGAACCTGCAGGCTCAGGCAATCCTCTCGCCTCGGCCTCCCAAAGTGCTGGGATTACAGGCTGAGCCACTGAACCTGGCCTTTTTTGTTTTTAATTTGAGTCAAAGTCTCACTCTGTTGCCCAGGGTGGAGTGCAGTGGCGTGCTAATGGCTACCGCAGTCTCATCCTGCTATGCTCAGCCAATTCTTCCACTTCAGCCTTCCAAGTAGCTGGAACTACAGACATGCACAACCATGCCCAGCTAATTATTTCTTTATTTATTGTAGAGACGTGGTCTCGCCAAGTTGCACAGGCTGGCCTCGAACCCTTGGGCTCAGGCAGTCCTCCCGCCACCACCTCCCAAAGTGCTGAGATTACAGGCGTGAGGCACCACGCCTAGCTTAGGACTTACACATTTAATCAACTTGATCCTCAATCTTACTGGCCCCCAACAAAAAAACTAATTGCTATCAAAGACTCAGAGCTGCTAGGAATCTCAGAGGATCATTTAGCCATGAGGTTTTCTTTTCTTTCTTTTTTTTTAAATCAGAGTCTCATATTGTTGCCCAGACTGGAGTGCAGTGGCATGCTCACAGCCACTGCAGCCTCAACTTGCTGGGCTCAGGCAATCCTCCTGCCTCAGCCTTCCAAGTAACTGGAACTACAGGAGTATGCCACCATGCCCGGCTAGTTTATTTATTGTAGAGATGAAGTCTCACCAAGTTGCCCAGGTTGGTCTCAAATCTCTGAGTTCAGGCAATTCTCGCCTCAGAGATGCTGAGATACAGGGATGAACCACAGTGCCCTTTTTTTTTTGAGTTGGAGTCTCACTCCATCACCCAGGCTGGAGAGCAGTGGCATGCTTACGGCTACCCCAGGGTTGACCTGCTGCGCTCAGGCAATCCTTCTGCCACAGCCTTCCAAGTAGCCAGAAATACAGGAGCTGGTTACTATGTCAGGCTAATGTTTTGATTTACTGGAGAGATAAAGTCTTGCCAAGTTGCCCAGGCTGTTCTCGAACCCGTGGGCTCAGACAATCCCCTCAGCTCAGCCTCCTGAAGTGCTGGGATTACAGGCTTGTAATAAAAATAAAGGCACCGGGCCTTTATTTTTATTTTAAAGATGTGGGGTACAATGCAGGATTAGGTACATAAGTGGTCATCATACAGGTGAAGTTTGGGCCTCCCACTGGTTCTCATTTCACCTGGTTTGGGAACAGGTACCCTTACTGATGTTATGTGCTCCACCTCCTCCCCCACAAACCATGGAGTTTTCAAACCACCTGGGAAGTAAAAGGAGTTCCAGAACCATTTAACTGGATGTTATTTTAACTGTTTAACAAAGTATAATAAAGAATGATATTAGACCAGGCACAGTGGCTCACGGTTATAATCCCAGCAATTTGGGAGGCCGAGGTGAGAGGACTGCCTGAGCCCATGGGTTCGAGACTGGGCAATTTGGCGAGACCACATCTCTACAATAAATCAAAAAATTAGTTGGGCATCATGGAGCGTGCCTGTAGTTCCAGTTACTTGGAAGGCTGAAACAGAAGCATCACTTGAGCCCAACAGATGGAGGCTGTGGTGGCCATGAGCATGCCACTGCACTCCAGCATGGGTGACAGAGTGAGACACCAATTAAGAAAAAAAAGAATGACATTCATCTAAATGTATTATATACCAATCTTATCAAAATAGAGTCAACCAAAACATGAATTCATGCAGACTGTAGAATAAAGTTTATTTTGCTAACTATGTACAGATCTTAATGTCTTACAAATGTGTCACTGATTAGGATATTAATAGCTCTGTGCTATCTTTTTTTTTTAAGTGAGAAAGCAGGATTTATTGAGAGGACAGAAAAGCTCCCACAGTAAGAGGGGACCCGAGGAGGTTGCCTTGTACTATCTATTTTTACTCTCAAATGCCAAGCAAAGTACACCAATGCTTTCTCATAGTATAATTGCCTGTTGTACTATAACTAGTGAATACCTAATAAATAGTTCAAATAGTATCATATCGAGTCCTGTTCCAATAGCTTGCTCCTGTCCCAGTCATTGAATCACAGACCCTGCGCCATCATGCCCAAGTGCTTCAAATGCGACAAGGAGGTGTACTTTGCTGAGAGTTGATCTCCCTGGGCAAGGGCTGGCATTGGTCCTGCCTGAAGTGTGAGAAATGTGGGAAGACGCTGACAGGAGGCAATGCCAAGCATGAAGGCAAGCCCTGCTGCAATCACCCCTGCTACTCAGCCATTTTCGCCCCAAAGGCTTTGGGTGGGGTAGAGCTGAGAGTCACACCTTCAAGTAAATCCAGGTGTAGAGACCCCATCCCTGGCCACTGGTGGGGCCACTGTCCAGGTAGATGCAAGGCCCAACCCCCAGACACCTAGGGCTCCCTTTTAGCCCTTCATGCCCTCAATAAACTTTAACACTTGGAAAAAAATAGTTTTATATCATAGCTTCAGTAATTATTCTAAGTTCTGAACACTTCTTGTCTAACATATTTATGATTTTAAAAAATATGTGGGCAGGCACATTGGCTCATGCCTATAATCTCAGCACTTTATGAGGCCAAAGTAAGAGGACTGCCTGGGTTCACAGGTTCAAAACCAACCTGGGCAACTTGGCAAGATCTCATCTCCACAATAAATCAAAAAATTAGCCGGGTGTGGTGGTGCATGCCTGTAATTTCAGCTACTTGAAAGGCTGAGGCAGAAGGATCACCTGAACCCAGTAGGCGGAGGCTGTGGTAGCCATGAGCATGCCACTGCACTCCAGCCTGGGCAATCGAGTGAGACTCCAACTCAAAAATTAAAAAAAAAAAAAATGTCTACAGTGTGATGGCTCATGCCTATAATCAAAGCACTTTAGAAGACACAGGTGAGAGGACTGCCTGACTCCAGGAGTTCAAGACCAGCCTGGACAACTTGGTGAGAACTTGTCTCTATAATAAATAAATTTAGCCGGGCTCGGTGGCTCAGTCTGTAATCCTGCGCCTTTGGGAGGCTGAGGTGAGTGGATTGCCTGAGCCTGCAGGTTCGAGACCTGCCTGGGCAGCGAGACCTCATCTCTACAATAAATAAAAAAATCAGCAGGGCATGGTAGTGCATGCCTATAAATCCAGCTACTCGGAAGGCTGAGGCGGAAGGATTGCCGGAGCCCAGCAGGTCGAGGCTGCGGTGGCCGGGAATGGCCACTGCACTCCAGTCTGGGCGACAGAGTGAGACTCCAACTCGAAAAAATAATAATAAATAAATAAATTTAAAAAATCAGGCGGATATGGTGGCGCATGCTCATAGTCCCAGCTACTCAGGAGACTAAGGTGGGAGGATCGTTTGAGCCCAGAAGTTTTAAGGACAGCCTGGGCAACATAGTAAGATGCCATCTTACAAAAAAAAGAAAATTAAGCTGGGCACAGTGGCACACACCTATAATCCCAGCACTTTGGGAGATCAAGGTGAGAGGATTGCCTGAAAAAATGTATTTAGTTTCAAATTTTAAAATACTGAGTGACTTTATATTAAATATATGATAAAAGCCAGGCTCGGTGGCTCAGCCTGTAATTCCGCGCCTTTGGGAGGCTGAGGTGAGTGGATTGCCTGAGCCCGCGGGTTCGGGACCCGCCTGGGAAGCGAGACCTCATCTCTACAATAAATCAAAAAATCAGCCGGGCGTGGTAGCGCATGCCTGTAATTTTGGCTACTTGGAAAGCTGAGGTGGAAGGATCGCCGGAGCCCAGCAGGTCGAGGCTGCCGTGGCCGGGAGCGGCCACTGCACTCCAGTCTAAGCGACAGGGTGAGACTCCAACTCAAAAAAAAAAAAAAAAAAAAAATATATATATATATATATATATATATGAATGATAAAGTGGAGCTTACTTATATTTATAAAAAACATTTTTCTGTTTCATATATTACAAAGTCTCATAGTTTCATTTCATAGGACTCTAATAATTTTTTTTTTTTTTTTTCTGAGTTGGATTCTCACTCTGTCACCCGGGCTCGAGCACAGCGGCACACTGCTCACAGCCACCTTAAGCTTCCACCTGTTGGGCTCAGGTGATCCTTCTGCCTCAGACTTTCAAGTAACTGGAACTATAGGCGTGAACCACCACACCCGGCTATTTTTTTTTTTTTTTTTTTTATTGTAGAGATGAGGTCTGGTCTGGAACCCCTGGTCTTAGGCAATCTTCTCACCTCGGCCTCCCAAAGTGCTGGGATTACAGGCTTGAGTCACTGCACCCAGGCTAAAACTCCAATGCTTTAAAAAAATATTTGAAAACTACTTAACTTGATTTTTGCCTTCAAAGAAAAGTAGGGTCTGATCATAGGATGTGGCTGGTTTTTTTGTAATCTATTCCAGTGATCGAAACAAATTCTTTAAAATGGGTTCTCCTAACTCTCTCCTTTCCCACAAATTCATTTTCTCCTAAACTCTGAAACTCACCTTCCTTCCTTCTGAAGCCCTAGGATTGCAATATAGCTTTCAGCATCAGTGAACAAGAGATCAAATTAAGCAACACTTTCAAGTTCCTTGATCAAGTCCCATTTTGTAGTTTTCTTCCCTGCCTGAACACTTTTGCACCTCCACCTCTATCTATCCTTCAGTTCTCCAGTGAAAGTCATCTTTTCCATTAAAACTTCTGAATTTCTCAAATCTTTCTTTTCTTTCTTTTTTTTTTTTTTGAGTCGGAATTTCACTCTTGCCCAGGCTGGAGTGCAGTGGCACACTCATGGTCACCGCAGCCTTGATCTGCTGGGCTCAGGCGATCCTTCTGCCTCAGTCATCCTAGCAGCTGGAATTACAGGCATGCACCACCACGTCCAGCTAATTTTATGATTTATTGCAGAGATGGGGGTCTCACCAAGTTGCCCAGGCTGGTCTCGAACCCGTGAGCTCAGGCAATTCTTTCACATCGGCCACCCGAAGGGATGGGATATTAGGCATGAGCCACCAAGCCCGGCCCAATTATTCTCTTTATAGATGAGGAAGCCAAAGTACAGAGAGGGAAATTAAGTTGTCTAAGGTTTCAAAACCGGTCAACGACAACACAGGAACTACTTGTATCATGCCGCCTCCATTTAAATTCCAGGTTCTATCTAACACAAGCCAGACTGGGCTAATTAAAATGTTCTGAGTAAGGAATTTCCAGAAATACAATGTGATTTGCCCCTTCTCTCTAGAACCTGTAAGAAAACTGGCTCCTCGAACAGTCTACAGATTAAATTATTACGGATTTAGCATCTTCCAAGGAAAAAGGCACCACCGGCAGACTATGGAGCCTGACACCCTTATTCCAGAAGCTAAACTGAAAAGATGTGAACCAACATTCAGCGCCTATAAACCGGCTGCAACCCCTTTACCACGTTGCTTCTGTCTCATCAACTTTTCATTCTCCCCGTCTCCCCATTCGCTCAGCCAGTGCACATCCAAGAGCTTCGTCCCCCCATCGGACCGAACCAGACTCACTGCAGGATCTCCTCGCTGACATCCAGGCCGAAAGTTTTTTGCAACTGCTCGGTGCACCAGAGCACCAGCGGCTTCCCGGACGCCGCCCCAGCCACCGCCATCTTCCCCAGCCGGAACCAGCTGGGCTGTAAAAGCCCCACGTCCTGCGCAGGAGTAGTTCCCTTCGCAACATCGACCGCGCTCACGCGGGTTCCGCCAGCCTGCACAGCCTCTCTCGGCTGTGCCGCCCCCGGTGCAAACCCCGCCCCCCTGTGCCACCTCCTGTTTCTGCCACCTTCCTTGTTTGTTTACCTTTGAACTGGGACTGCGGCCGCGCGTGCAGCTTCCGCGTTGTTAGGTGCCGGGCTCGAGGAAGACTGCTGGCAGTTCTTCCGAGAAGTGTAAATACCTATAAAAACTACATTGTAGGCCGGGCTCGGTGGCTCAGCCTGTAATCCCAGCACTTTGGGAGGCCGAGGTGAGTGGATTGCCTGAGCCCACGGGTTCGAGACCTGCCTGGGCAACTTG